AATAAAGGTCCTCGCACATCCTCTGCGAAGAACCATTTAATGTCGAATCTATGTATCTCAGATAACCGACTACAGTTCCATTGATGATTGCTGCATCAGCCGTTATTTTATTGAAATTGCTGTAAAACCACGGAATCAAAAAGCAATTTCTTCACACTGCTCTAGTTCTAAGTTAACACAACAGAGCAACAACATCCAATATTTCCTGTGTTTGTGCAATAGTAGTGGAATCTACAATCCTTCTTCGCGATGAGTCGCCATGGTATCAAAAGGAGAATAGTCTTGTCTTCAAGATCACGTTTACTCTTCTACAAAAATATGAGACACTAGGAGATATGCGCTTTTGGAAATCGCGCCAATGTTTCGAATAGGCGATTCCGCGAACATTATAGATCACAGCCTTGTAAGGGTTTGGCGCGCCGTCAGTCCGTTCTCCATCAGTTGTTAAAAGAGCTAGGCGGCAAAAATCGGTGGAAAGTGGCTGAAAGGTAGGAACAATATGATACAAGTTCGTCTCATGCTTGCCTCAACAACTGGTGAAAACGAGATCGGCACGAATCCTGACACGCCTCATCATCCGCACCGAACAAAACTGTACATGCTATCGAGCCTCTTTGTTTCAGGATTCCCATTCTCTATTGATGGTTCTCACTTTATCTGCTCATAATATTTTCGGAGGTCCGCTGATTCCCTCGGAAGCCCCCGTTCAACTTCGCGAATGGGGAATATGTGCGACTTGTGGTACCCGGGGAGTACATGAATCGGGAAAATATGCACAAAGGGAAGTATATAGTGTAGTGTAAGAATCCGCAAGTTCCGGGACTCAATGAAAGCGCATCGAAGGGTTTGATCTTTTCTGCGGCTTCCAAGTTATATTGTGCAAAACTATTCTCCAATTCCGCAGATACACGCGATCTGAAGAATCGGCGAACAAAAAAGCTTATTGGCGGAAGATGATGAAATTCCTGTTAGCCTATCACCTCTATTAAAAATCGAATCGAATTAAACCCCTGGCGCCTTGTTTACTTTTTTCGGAGGCAGTTAATCTCGAATAATGTGTTAGCAATTTTATCTGACTTGTTCCCATTTGTTGGACTATTTTTTCGTCCTAAATTTTTTTGTGTTATGTTATGTTTATTACGCTGCATAAGGCAAACGCGAGAGAACAACAAACAAAGAACATCACGAAAAAAAACTTTTTCCGGGAACAGACGACAACGATATATCAACTAGGGAAATACGCTCACTCAGTATATCAAGAAGATATCAAACTAATCAAAGTGAAATGAAATGAAGCGACTCGAGCTGGCAACGATCCGAGACTATTCCACTATTGATGAAGTTAGGAAATTCTGAAGTCAATCTCAAGCAACTAGGATGTTACGTGACTAAGAAGCCGTGAAGCTACAATCCTCTTAAGCTGTCGCACAGTACTGGGAATGGAAATTTTGTTCTTTTTTACCCACACCTGAGCTTCTCATTATAGAGCCCAGGGAAGAATTTTGTGAGTGAACCAAGCCTCAAGCAGTTATTTTTTTCATTGAAACTGCATTTAAAACTGCAGCTCAACCGACTCGGATCGATTTTTCTCAAGTACCTCGCCTACGTCATAAGATAACCTTTTCAGGAAATTTATTCTAATCCTGTAACATTTTGATGTGAAGAAACCATGGAAGACGTGCAGATGATCGATGTATCAGAGCCTCCAGCTCGGATGGCAACTCGTGGACAGAGAATTAACTATGCTGAACTAAACAGCTCCAGTAGTGTTGGATTCAGCTCAGCATCTAATCAATTCAGGTGACTTCAAAATACTGCTTTTCTCAGTTTATGCTTTCGGTGAGCCTCGTTTTAGTCAGTACGAGTTTTACTAATTTTTTCTAGACGAGCGATCTTTAAAATTTCTTATTGTTCTACATCACAGCACTTCCATAAGTGAGTCATTGGAAGCAGCTGGCAGTGACAGCATTTTCCGCTCACCAACGGCTAGCACACGTGGTAGAAAACGAAGACCTACTTACGACGAAGCTTCGTCTATAGCATCATGGACTATTGTGAGCGCTTTGATTTGCAATAATTGTGAGGATGTTGCATTTGCTTTGAAATTAGCCATTAATTCGTTTAGCCGAAGCGAGGCCGACCTCGCGGTGCTGGCCTAGCACGAGGTCCTCGTGGTGGTGGAGTCAGGCGATCAATCTTGGGAGATCAGCAAGCCCAGTCGATTGCGGAAATAGATGAGACGGGTTTGTTTGGAGCTGTCAAAACAGGAAGGAACCTAGAGGTACTGTTTCTCTTCGCTATACCATTACATGCTTTTTTGTATTGTTTCGGAGGAAGTTTAGCGATGAAATAGTTGGAGGACCCAATCCACGCTCTTCTAAGTCTGAGCCTAAGGAGAAAGGGTCTTTACCTCAGAAGATTTGCCACGGTTTCTCCACACTTAAGGCTAGAACCCTTTTGGTCACTACGACAGTTTATTTAGCTGTTTTATCAGTTCTGAGCTCAGTTCTTCATTATACAGTACAACAATATTCATAAAGTTCTGCTGTTAAGCTTTCTTCAGTAGTTAGATGTAATTCTATGTATAGGTTTTGTTCATTGTATACTGTCTGTATATTTGCTTCTACATGGCGACTGTACTTTTATCTATCTAACTTTTGTATTGCTACCAGTAATCAATTGAACAACTCATTTTTAGCAAGCGATCGACGAATGGATTGAAGAGTATGAACGAAACCCTGACGCAGCTCTGGTAAAGCTTCAGCAGTTTTTCATTTCTTGTTGTGGTTGTAAGGGAGTCATCAATGCTCATATGCTAAGCACTATGGAGTACAGGTAAGGTTACATGGAAGTAACTTGTTCTCTGCGCTGGGTCGAAACTATCATTTTAAGCGAAATTATTCGACGTATGACGGAAGATTTTGACGAAGATTCTGGTGATTACCCGCTTATCCTCACCGGGACACAATGGAAGAAATTCCGTAACAACCTTCACTCAATGCTTTACGTAAGTTACTTTTACGTTTACCTTGGGGCCAAGTGGTTATTCGGGTGGTGTCGCACTCACATTTCTCTACTTGAAATCTTAGAACGTGTGCGCTTCACATGTCTTTGTGATTCAAGAATGATCAAGAGTATCGCACTCCCCTCTTAGTAATCCTCTCAGCATTTTTGGGTATGAAGTTCACGAGATTAGTGCACATATTATTCATCTTACTTTTCGGCAACTATCTCCTCCGAAAAATTCTTTTGTTGCGTTTTGTTTCCAATCATGGAAATCTGTGATTTGAAAGGGTTTTAAGCCGTGGAGTAAGCTTAGAGGGAATGGTGTTGATTCAGAGAATCCGCGATACGTTTGTGGGGGGTCCAAATCTAGTTGCTTAAGGACAATCTTTTGAAGACATTTACATTCCTTTCTGTGCATTTTCTAGTGTCCCTGATTTTCCTATCCCATTAGCAAGTATGAATTAGTGAGTGAGTTAGTGGGACGGAGCGCCTGTGCGCACCCCCAAAAGTCGCGTGACCTTACTTTTTTTCTGATTTATTTTAGATTGAATTTTCCTGTTCAGGTTTGGATCGATAAGTGCAAATCATCTCTAATTTTTGATCAACGCATGATGGATAGTGTTATACAGCTGTTGACCGGCTTAGCAGATAGCCAAGTGCGAGCATTCAGGCACACGGCTACATTTGCAGGTTTGCCTTTCCCAGAGAATTTCACAGGCTGTGTATCAATGAGTGAAGAGTTTCGGTTTTTTTCTTTTTCATGCCCTATTTATTTAGCGATGAAAATCTCGTCAGCCTTGGTGGATGTCACCCTGGAATTGGTCGCAGTAAAGGATCGTAATGCTAAACAGTTGGAAGCAGAGAAAGCTCGCCTGAAGCAGAGCTCTGGCACAAATGAGAAGCTGGACGTGCTTATTCAGAAAAAGAACGAGGTGGGTTTTTCCTCCTTCTTGCATCCCGGTCATCAAATGATGTAGGGTTTGTACTTCCTAAACTTAAAATTCTATTTGTTCAGCGCTAGAACGTTTTTTAGATAGAGGAACGAACTGATGATGTTCGCCAGATGCTGCAGTACATTTTCAAGAGCGTCTTCGTTCATAGATACAGGTAAATTATAGTGAATTTTCGAGACTTTGAGTTCTGCATGTCTAAATTTCACATTTCCATGTCTATGAATCTTTTTCAAGAGACGTTCTTCCGGATACTCGATCCATCTGCATAACTGAGCTTGGCAATTGGATGCTAGTATATCCAGACCACTTTTTAGAGGACTCATACCTCAAGTACATTGGATGGAGTCTGTACGACAAGGTATTGAGATGTTCCCCACATTTAATTGATATGTTTCGTTAAGTCATATATGTGCACAATGACGCTCATGGTTTATCCTGCAGGTGCCCGACGTCCGTCTGAAGTGCATTTCCGCTCTGTTGCCACTATATGACAAACCTGATGTCTTGATGAAGCTGGAGTTGTTTACGAATAAGTTCAAGGATAGACTTGTTTCTATGGTGCTCGACAAGGACAACGAAGTAGGAATGAAGACATGTCAACTTATGACGAGCATTTATCGGTATGTCTGAGGCCTTTCCTTTTCTCTGCTTCGAATTCATGTGCAGGTGAAGGTTGCCAATCTTAACTAATACAAAACTGCCTTATATTTTCAACTATTAGGTCGCAGTTGTGATGAGTACAATGTGTTGTTTTGCGGGTATTTTGGGATATGACGCTGTTTTGGTATTAGGCTGGTTGGGAACTTTCGATACACTATTCCGGAAGTGGGGAGCGGTTTCAAGAAGTATTGAATGAGTCCACCCGCAGTGTTTCATCACTGGTCCTTTTCTTCCTGAATCGCTCATTAACCGATCACCACTGGTTAAGCGAGACAACCAAAAACGAGCTCATTCTGCCCCTCTTGACACCGCTTCGATCCCCCCCCCCCCCCCCTGACACCGCTTCGGCGAATCGTGACGTTATCAACTATATGTAGACGTCATGTCCCAATTACTGACCGTCCAGATGAACTGCGCTCCGCAGCCGAGATTGCAAACTGGAAGACGATTGAGATCTGAGCGTCCATCTGAACTCGCTCAAGGGTCTGCTGATTGCTGTGCAGTCACATTCCTTACTATCTGCGAGGGAGGTTGCGGCCTCTCTCGGTATACTATGTAAAAACTAAGTTGAAGTCATGAAGATCAGCCGGCCAATTCTATCTCAGTTTTGACAACCCCGATCTCCTCGAGCATTTTCCCCGACTGTGCTCACTCTGCCGAAAGAAGGGGGAGGGAGAGTTCTTCGTAATATTTTGTGTCGCCCAAACGGTAGAATACAAGAACTGCGCGCGACACGCGCCCCGCGCAACCGGCCTGTTTACAGGTGTGGCGGAGCATGCGATGAATTTAGCGTGTTCACCGGCCTGGTCCCATTCGGCGCGCATGTTAGACGAGGAATACCGCTCCGCTCTACGGTTTGCTGTGACGGGCGGTAGACACACACACCACACACACACACACACACACACACACACACACACACACACACACACACACACACACACACACACACACACACACACACACACACACACACTTCGACAGCTGGGGGGGGGGGGCTTATAGTCACACACACCCAAACTATGTGTTGTCGTACCATGTGTCTTTAAGCGCTCTCGAAAAATCACTAATAACAATGGCAGGTATATTCAAGCGATCTGAGCAGCATGAAAGCTTATCCTCTGAAGTTTATGAAAACTTTTCTACCAGCTCAACAAGCGGCGTATGGAAAAACATCTATTTCAGTACTTTCCCATCCCTGCTTCAATTGAAAGACTGTGTTCCGATCTATGAACTTGTGTACTCTAACCATCGTGGACTTGCTGTTGCTGCTGGTGAATTCCTTAATACGAAGGTAGCTTTTTATGTCATCTCTTGGTTTAACTCTTTTATATCGTGGTTTCTTCGCCTTAACGGCCGTTTTTTTCATCTCAATTGTGGTTCGTTAAGGTGTTCCAACATTCTCAACGTGGAAGAGCTTCCAATGTATCGACAACAGGTCGGGGTGGAATGGGTGACAATGCAAAGCTCATTCAAGATCTCATTCAATTCTATATTGAAGGAGAAGTGAGTTGCACTATTTCGGTTTTATTGTCTCTGTCTACTTTCATTCGTTTCAAGTGCCACGAACATGCTACCTACCTGGTCGATGCATTGATAGATACTAATCCAATGATTAAAGATTGGCAGACTATGGTGGACCTGTTACTGAGTGATGAAGGTGAGTCCCTTTCCCAAGGTAATAGGCACAATGGCTGAAGGCGGGACTGCTGCCAAAGTCATTGGTGGGAGTGCAGTGAGAGGGCGGTTGGCCACACTTCATTCAAACCGTCCACTGGTTACGTTGGCAGTAACCGCCTGCCCCCGGCCATCGTGCCAACTTCCTCTAAGGCCACGTTCAGTGCCGCTTGCGACCGTGAATAAATGCAGAAATGAAAAGTGCGGATTATGCAGAAATGACGAAAAGCGTTAAATACATATCTCTTTTAAGAAATGCGGAATCTGTAGAAATGCAGGAAATGACGGAATTGCGGAAAATCGGTACGTATCTAATGATTTCGTCATTTCTGCAGATTCGGCATTTACGCAGAATCCGTATTTCTTCATTTCTGCATTTCTTCACGGTCGCAAGATATGAATGCGACCTAATGTTAGTCTTAACGATCTATAGGGAATTGTTTGTTG